AAAACCAGAGGCTGCTTACTTGGAATACCACAGAGAAGAATTCTGAGGCCACATTTGGGCTTAGTAGGGGCTCAGTATCTGCAGGGGCTTGAATCCAGGATGCTCTATGAATACCAAAATCCACAGGCTCTCAAATTCTTCATCAAAATTATGTAGTGTTTGCATAGAACTTATAGGTTCATCCACCTGTATACTTTAAATCATTTCTAGATACATATAAGTATATGATAATGCAAATGCTATGCAAATAATTGTACTATATTGTTTAAGGAATAATGATAATGAAAATATGTGTTTAGAACAGACAAGATTTTTTTCAGAATATTTTTGTTTTGTGGTTGGTTGAATTTGCATGTATGGAGCTCAGGGATATAGAGAGTCAACAGTATTAGGAAGATTTGAAATAGTCGTGGATGGACTGGTAGAAATACTGCAATATTGGCTCTCAAATGGAGAGAAATGCTATCAACTGTTAACATTTTGGCATTGATTGAATTATTTAGTTAGCTGCCTTCACATGGCTCTAAGAGAATATAGTCACAGGATAGGCTAGTATGTTAAATGATGTTTTTTTCCTTTGCTGTTGAGCTAAAATTGACATAAAATTCATCAATTTAACCATTTTAAAATGTACAATTCAGTGGCTTTCAGTACATTCACAAGTTTGTGCAACTGTCACTACTGTATCCCAGAGCTTTTTAATCACTCTCTAAAGAAACCCTGTATCCATTAAACAGTCACTCTCAATTCTCTCCTTCTTTTAGGTACCAGTGATCACTAATCTGACTTTTTTTTTTATCACTATGGATTTACCTGTTCTGGACAGGTAAATTCCTAGAAATGGAATTGTGTGTGGCTTTTTGTACCTGGATCATTTTACTGAGCATGTTTTCAAGGTTCACTATGTTGCAGTATGTGTCAGTACCCCTTTCCTTTTAATGGTGGGATAATATTCCATTGTATTGATAAAAACATTTATCTATTCATCATTTGATGGACATTTGGATTGTTCCCACTTTTGGGTTATTATGGATAATGTTATTATGAGTATTAAGTTATGAGTTTTTGTTTGATCACTTGCTTTCAATTCTCTTGGGTAGATAGATGAAATTCCCCGCCAACACACACCTTTGGTGAAGACAGATCTATTCAAAACAGTCTAATGGGCGAATTTTGCTAAGAAGGAAAAAGCAAGAGTTTGGGTGTTGCCTGGATAAGAACTGGGAGTAGAAAAGACTGTAACAGAGCACTCTGGGAAGGCTGTGGAATCCTAAGGGAAAAAAGTCTGGGGAAAAAGGAGGGCCGGAGAAGGAAAAGATGGTGCCACACACACACACAAAAAAAAAAAAAAAAAAAAAAAAACAGATGGCGAGGGCTGTGGCTGTGGCTCAGTGGCAGAGTGCTTGCCTGGCACGTGTGAGGCACTAGGTTTGATCCTCAGTACCACACACACACACACACACACACACAAGCAAATAAAATAACGTCATGCTATTCATCTACCACTACAAAAAAATTTTTTTTTAAAAGACATGTTTTAAAAAAAACAGATGGGAAGGATCTTGAACTTGTTGAGTAGATGAAGAAAGGAGTTTTTAAGAACTTATAAAATGGCTGCTGATTTTTTCTGTTTTTAATAAGGAAGGAGGAAATCTGAAGGAGATAAAAAGATGCCTTAGGGGAGGGTCAAAGTAAACTAAAAATTGTTTTATAGTTTAGGTTGTCTTAACAGGGTGTTGTAAATGGATGATTTTGGGGCAGAAAGAAGGAAAACTTAAGATGGCAAAATAGGTAGAGCAAATTTTAATTAAAGAAAGGGGCTCACTTATTACAAGAATGCTGATATGCATTTTTATAGTGATGGACTTTTTCTAAAGCATTTTATATCATTATATTCATTAGGATGAATGAATGAGGCAGAGGAGGTACCATTTGTTGCCATTTGAGGAACAAAAAAAATCCAAGTGTCTAGCACAGCATCTGGTGATGGTAGGAATTCAGTCAGTATTTGTAAAATAAATGAAACAGAGTCATAGCAAGTCAAAGACTGTCAGAGCTGCCAGAGTCATGAGACCATCCACAAGTCTTCCTCCCTCCTCATTTTTTCAGAGTAGGAATGTTAGAGCAGAATGAGAAAGTCCTGGGCTTAAATCCAAGGTCCTATGGTCAGTGAATGAAGAACCCAAGTCAATAGTCTCATCCTCTACCTCCATAACATCAACTACATTGTTTTGTGATGATTTGCACTCTTGTCTGTTTCCACCACTGAGCCATAAGCTCCTGGAGATAGAGTTTGTGTCTGATTCATCTTTGATTCCCCAAAATATAGCACAGTTGTTGAAACTTGTTGAATGGATGCACAGGAACCCAAAAGCTCTCTGTTCTTTCTTGTCTCTGCTCCTTCTCAATTCTGCCACAGGTTTTAGTGGCAGATGCAGGACTCAACCATAGGATTCCCTCTTCCTTTCTTTGCTATGAAGTATCAACATCTTGAGGAATTGTGCTCTTCAGTGTGGGACTTAGTAATATGGAAGAAGAAGAAGTGATGGGATTTTCAAGAGGTTTTTGAAATAATTCCTTGTCTACCTGTTTTGACCTTCCTGGGGACTTGTATTTGCTCCTAAGCCCATATTAGTTAAGGTGTCTCTGATTGGTATTAATTGTGGCCAGTCTGTGAATGGCATAGGTTGGGTACCCAGGCCAGTCCATAGGGCCTGTCTGCAGGGCAGAAAGAGAGGCATGGAGGATTATATCTAGATTATTGATCATGTTATAGGCTTTGGAATCTGACCTCTGTCCTTTGATTCTGCTTCATGTTAAGTAGCCCCCATGAGGTTCTTCTACCTGAATTTCCAGTTCCTGTCTCCTATACCAACTGTATGCTGAATCCTATCACCATCCCCTTGGACTGGGGACAGCTTGACATCCTTTGGTTTGTTCTCTCCCACCCCAGTGCCAGTAAATTCATACAGTGCAGACTGCAAAAGGACCCCATTGGAAAGCTCAGTTCTATTTGTGTCAAATGATGGCCCTAATACCAGCAACCTGACTCCTCCTTATTTCAAAACAGTTTCCACAAGTATTAGTCAGGGTTCTCCAGAGAAACAGAACCAATGATGTGTGTGTGTGTGTGTGTGTGTGTGTGTGTATGAAAGTGGCTCCCATGATTATAGACACTTAAAAGTCCTAAGAGCTGAAGTTAACAAGCTAAGGACCCAGGAGAGCTGTTGGTGTAGTTTCAGTTCAAAGGCTACCAGGCTTGAGGCCCAGGAAGAGCCTATGTTTTAGTTCAATTCTGCAGGCAGGAGAAAAACAATGTCCCTGTTTAAATGCAGTCAGTTAGGCAGTAGGGATTCCCACTTATTTGGGAGAGGGCCAGCCATTTTGTCCTATCTGGCTTCAGAAGAGGCCCACCCATATTAGGGAGGACAACCTACAGCCTGTTTTATCCAGTCTGCTGATTCCAATGCAGATCCCATCCCAAAACACCTTCACAGAAATGCTCAGAACACTGTTTGACTGAATATCTGGGCATCCCATATCCCAATCAAGTTAACACATAAAATTAACCATTATGCCACAAAACTTAAGAGCAAAGCCAGGTGGTTTTATTACATGGATGAAATATCCAGGAGCCAGTGAATATTCTTTGCTCCTTGTCCTTCATCTTGAAAAAGGCAAAGAAGGATCTGCTAGTTCTCAGAATTCACCCAGGTAGTCTTAGGTGCCCATGTAAAAAACTTAGTGGCCCAGGGAGAGTGGGAAGCATTCTTAGCATCGCCATGAGAAGGTCAGTTCAAGTCCTCCAGACTTGTGACCCATTTTAAATCCTCCAGCCTTGTGATGGCAGGGAGGTTGGAGTGAGCCTCTTCTTTCCATCTTTGATGGAGGTAAGCCACTTCTCAATCCTTGGAGGTGGCATCTTCTGCCCAAAGGGGGCTCAGCTTGTTGTGTGTGAAGGTCCATGGGTATGTCAGTTTGAACAAAGAAGGATGATACTTAAGGTGATAGTGCAGGAAGGAACCAATATAGGACATGATGGCACCAGCAACATGTTGAAGTTCGCAGGGCAGCATACTTGTGGGAGTGGGTGGGGAGCTCTCAAAGGGGAAAAGGGTGTTGCATTATCAGAATTTGCTCCTGTGATGATAGAGGTTTGCTTCTTCTTTACAAGAAGAAATACAAGAGGAGGTTGGTTTTCAAAATGCACTCTCTGATTGTGAAAGATGAGACATGCAGGAGCTTCTACAGGTGAATGCTCATCTAGCCTGGGGGATGCTGGAGGCTCTCAGAGGATAGTTGCAGGTGAGTTAAACCCTGCTGGAGGGGGAGAGTTGGTGCTATAGTTTGGATCTGGAATGTCCCAAAGGCTTATGTGTTGAATATTTGATCCCTAGCTGATAGTGTTATTGGAGGTGGACCTTAGGTAGAAAAGGTGGGTGATTTGGGGTGTGCTCTGGAAGGGAATGTCTTGTCCCTGTCCCATCCTTTTACCTCTCTCTTTTTCTCTCTCTCCCTCCTGCCTTCCTAGCCACCATGAAGTGAGCCCATCTGCTCTGTCACATGCTCCTCACCATGACATTTTGCCTCACCCTGGACCCATAGTGATGGGGTCAAGTAACTATGGACTGAAACCTCTGAAATAATGAACCCAAATAAATCTTTCATCATTTAAGCTGTTTTTCTCACGGTGATGGAAAGCTGATAAGAGTCATCCTGTCAGATGTTTAGACCAGAGGTGGCAGCTAGGAACTGTTTCTCAAATAATCACTGAAGGCCATTTCAAAGAGAATGGTGCATGACAATGGGATAAAAGACTTACAAGTAAATCATGTTTTGTATCTGTCTTGTCACAAGCCAGGAACAGGGTTTTGTTGCACTTTACAAAGATCACAACTTTTCCTTTTTTTTTTCAGGCTGAGATGTGAGGTGGGAATGGATTTCACTTTTTCTCTGCCTCAGTTTCCCCAACCCATCCTGTCCATGGTCTACACACTCACCTGCACCAAGTCTGGTGTGAGGCGCTTGGCTTGCAGCCATTTCTGGAATCTCCCTGTTTTCCTCAAGACACGCTCAATGCTGCAGGTCTTTGGAGCTGATGCTGACACACAGATTCTCCTGTCTGAGATCTCATTTTGGTATTTGCTGGCCAGCCTCAAGATCTCCACAGGGCGCCAGGTTTTGGAATCATCTGAGTAATTTGCAGAGTAAGAAGGCAAGTCACCAGGAGGCAGTCCAAGGTGGGAAGCCCGCGTGTTGTCAAACCTGTCAGAAGAATAGTCTTTTTAGGATTGGCCTGTGAACTAGAGGCTAGTGGAACCAAAGACAGAGAGACTGGGGACAACAGCCTGTCTGATCCATTTCTCTTCCTTAGATTAAGTGTTCCAAATTCTTTCAATGAGAAGACTACTTCTATTTCCTCAAACTTAGGGAAGCGTATATGTTATTGTCAGTAAAAGGTTAGGAAGGTATGGGTCAGACAGAATATCTTCCTCAATTCACTGGTACAATAACTAGCTATGGTCCTCTGAAGATCTAATCCATGTAAAGATAGTAGTTTTACATGTGCTAACACTTTTGATATTCCTCACACTCCACCCCCACTTTATAGATGCAGAAACTGAGGGTCATGGAGTTTAAGTATTTTTGTTGAAGGTAGACAATATGTTGCCAAGCCGTGATGCAAACTCTGGGCTATTCATCAGCAAACTATTATGCTTACCCCTCCCCATACTCATTGCTCAATACACCACCCTCTGACCAGTGCCTGGGTCTTGGAACGATAGTTCTTGAAGAGGTTCTTGGGCCTGCTCTAGGGAAACCACTGATCCTCCATATCCAACCCCAAGGAGCTCATCAATTTTGCTTTTTTCCCCATGGGTTTAAGTAATTAGCACCAACCAAGACTTAGGCAACTTTGGCTACTAAATATTAGGTCACCAAATTGGAAGCTATTTCATACCTCCTCCAGGAGGTATGAAATTATGCAATGGTATGGTCATTCTTTAATCCTCCTCAGGGGAGAGGCACAGGCTTATTATCATCTACTGATTTCCTAGGCCCAACATTTACCCTTTTCTCTATAATCATTTCTCCAGCTGTGTGCTGACATTTCCATCAGGGAAGAATGTTAAATCTCCTTTTGATTTATGTATGAAAAATCACTCAGAAAAAGTTTACCTTCATTATTATTAATAACTGAGGGTCATACTTCAAGTGAAAAGCAGGTTATGCATTATGTATTTAACTTAAATGAAAATCTTTAAATTCTTATTATTGGGCATTATTGGATATCCCTATGATAATGAGTTTTAGATAATGTATTTTGGAAGAATTGGCATTTCAGTGAACCCCAAACCCTAGATTATTTTATTTTCTCACTTATATGATGCAGCATTATCCTAAGAGACTACTGTTTTGATGGTGAAGAAAGCCAAACAAAAACTCCCAAAGGCAAGGAAGTCAGGAGATTTGTCCAGGGAGCTGGAGAGCCCAGGACTCTGTGTCCCTGAGGATTACAGTTGAGCTGTAGGCCTCTCTCATTTGGAATGGTGCTCCAACAGAACGTGTCAGTAATGCAACAATGCAAATTGCAGCGGAAGTAGACATCAATAATTCTATTCAAGCTGAGCATGGTGGTACACTCCTGTAATCCCAGTGGCTCAAGTGGCTGAGGCAAGTGGGTTGCAAGTTCAAAGCCAACCTCAGTCAGGATATGCAAAGAACTCAAAAAACTTAACACCAAAAAACCAAACAACCCAATCAATAAATGGGCCAGGCAGCTGAACAGACACTTTTCAGAAGAAGATATACAAATATATGAAAAATATATGAAAAAATGTTCAATATCTCTAGTAATACAGAAATGCAAATCAAAACTACTCTAAGATTTCATCTCACTCCAGTCATAATGGCAGTTATCAAGAATACAGACAACCATAAGTGTTAGAGAGGATGTGAGGGAAAAGACACACTCATACATTGCTGGTGGGACTGCAAATTGGTGCAGCCAATCTGGAAAGCATATGGAGATTCCTTGGAAAACTGGGAATGGAACCACCATTTGACCCAGGTATCCCACTCTTTGGTCTATACCCAAAGGACTTAAAATCATCATACCACAGTGATGCAGCCACATCAATGTTTATAGCAGCTCAATTCACAATAGCCAAACTGTGGAACCAACCTAGATGCCCTTCAGTAGATGAATGAAAAAAGAAACTGTGGTATATATACACAATGGAATATTACTCATCATTAAAAGAGGATAAAATTATGGCATTTTCAGGTAAATGGTTGGAATTAGAGAATATCATGCTAAGTGAAGTAAGTCCATCCTCTAAAACCAAAGGCGGAGTGTTTTCTCTGATAAGTGGATGCTAATCCATAATGGGGGGGGGGGACATGGGATGAGTAGTGGAACTTTGGATTGGCCAAAGGGGAGGGAACAGGCATGAAGATAGAAAAGAAGGTGGAATCAGACGGACGTTACCCTAGGTATGTGTATGATTGCATGAATGGTGTAACCCTACTTTGTGTACAACCAGAGAAGTGAAAAACTGTGCTCCCTTTGTGTACAATGAATAAAAAAAAAGCCAACCTCAGCAACTTAGTGAGGTCCTAAACAACTTAGTGAGATTCTGACTCTAAATAAAAAATAAATAAATAAAAGGGGTTCGGGATATGGCTCAGTGTTTAGGCACACCTGGGTTCAATTTCTAGTACCAAAAAAATCTATTCAAGAGCATTACCACAAAGATATTTTGAAAAGACAAAACATTGTAAACTTGTAATGAGTTGATTTTACTGGAAGGTTCAGGACAACCTTGGGAAATGATCATCCCCTCCAGGAGAATCAGGGCCCAGAGGCAGGGCTATTGGCCTGTTTCCTGCTGCTTTTCTTGTTTGAAACTTGCAAAAGTCCTGGGACTAAGGATTTACAATTCAGTGGCTCTTTTAGATAATGTTGACATATCCGAGGAAAAACCTAAATAAGCCCTCTATTTTCACTTGCTTAGTTGACTTAAAAAAATCACTGGTTTTGGAGGTCACACAGCTGGGCAATGCATTCTTAGTATCTCACTAGCTTTGTTGTAGATAACATCTCTGACATGAGGCTTATGATGATAACAGTTACCTAGGTTACTTTTCAGGGATATGAAGGCCACTTCTGCTGAAAACATTGACTCTTCACTTGGCCCTGCAGACATCAAATGGGTAACTGGAATGGGAGGAAAAGGCTTGGCAACTCTGCCTTCATATTGTGTCTATCTTCTTTGCTGCCTTAACCTTGGGTCGGATTCTACTCAGATGTGTGGATGACTTGAGAAATATTTTGTCCAGAACTATAATCCAGGGTTAACCTAGCCTGGACTTGCTTAGTCTCCCTTCAAGGCTAAAGATACCTAACAATCTCCATGACCAGAAACACCAGATCATGAAAGGAATGAAAAAAGGAGGCAGTCCAGTTTCTGGAAGATTTCTGCCTATTCCCAGAAAGAACATGAGTATTCCTCCCCTTTATTAATCTCTCTCCCTCCCTCATTATTCTCATTCTATATTTATAACCCTTCAATCCCCTGGAGTTGAGAAGATGTTTTGTGAGCAGAGCTCCCTCTTCTCCATCTTTTGACCAGCAAATAAGGCTCTTTCTTCTCTTGACACTCTGTCTCTTGAGTCATTGACTTTATTAAGCAGCAACAGAATTGGACTTTTTCAGTCACAATAATAGTAACACACCCTTATGAGACACAAGCATCCCAGTGGCAGAGGGAGGCAGACCTCAGGGCTCCTGTTCATCCAGTTGGGTGATTTCCTGCCTGCCCTGTGGGACTAGATCACCTTCAATAAATGCCTGTGCAAGGTCAGCAATGGCTCAGGTCACTCAGTGAGGATGAAGTGAGACAAACTAACAGGTTCCCAGGCCTCACTTCTCCCTTATTCAAAATAGTAATACATTTATTGCATCAAGTGAGAAAAATGTATATTCTTACAATATTGAGCACCTACTTTATTGAATAGAAGAACTCAAGTGAGAAAACAGGTCTTTCTTTTTGGTCACTACAATATTAATATCCTGGAATTTGGAAAACCTCAAAACTGTGACAGCTTTCCAATCTTCCCTCTGCAATGAGATCATGGGCATGATTGAGGTGGCTTGCCAGGTTCCTCGTTGTGTTAAAAGTTTGACAAGCAGGATCATAGCTTCTCAGAGCTGGAAGGAAGCAGAAAGGTCAATCTCTCAAGCTTCTCCACATGGAGAAGAGGATGGGTGTGTAGGGGAAGGAGATGGCATTGGAATTAGAATGAGATGCCCTCTTCCTTCATATGTAGACATGCCTTTCTAAACATTTCTTGCCTCTTTTCTCTCTTCTTCACCCTACAGCTTTTCACCACACATTTAAACCATCCAGCATCTTCCCAAAACTCTCAGGATAGTCATAGCATAGTTGATAATTCTCTTTTTAGTCCTATTATCTATTGTTTCCTTTACAGGCTTGCTTTGATCTTATCAAACAACGGCAACCCTTGGGAAAACCACATTCTTTTTTAAAAAATATATTTTAGCTTTAGATGAAAACAATAATTTTATTTAATTAATTAATTTATTTATATGTGGTGCTGAGAATGGAACCCAGTGCCTCATACATGATAGGCAAGTGCTCTACCACTGAGCCACAACACCAGTCCAAGCACATTCTTTTGGGCCTTCTAAATCTTTCTAAACTACTGCCACTAAAAGTACCCACCCTCATACACAGTACTGATCAACTTGATCCTGGTAGATCCTCCTCGTTGATGGAATCACTCAGGGGTTCACATAATCGTATTTTCAGTAGGAAATGTATGCCAACTAGGCTTACTCAATTTCCTAGCTTTCCTCAACTTTTAAGTCAGGAGGTAAAAGCCAACATGGAATGCATGAGAAAATGGGTATAGGAAACATTCAAACTTTCAAAGATTGATGGTTCAGTATATGAATCCTCTTATTTGTCACTAGAATTTTTGCCAAATATAAATGAAACAAGGAAAGGTGTTATTCAACTACCAGTCATAGGTCTTCAGCATACCTAGCTGAATTTGGAAGCCCATCTATCATTTGATCATCTTCCAGTCCTTCGTGAGGAGCAGGGCTACGATGCTCATGCTGGTCTAGCTAGAACATTGCAGCCAAATATCTGAGAGTTTGGGATGGGTTTTCTCTTGAGGTTATGGTAATCATTTTTTTAAAATGGAGAACTGTTTGGAGATCAACAAGATTAAAACGAACAAACATATCATTAGAAAGAAAGGCAAAGAGGAGGCTGAGAATGTAGTTCAGTGGTAGAGCTTGTGCTTAGCATGTGCAAGGCCCTGGCTTTGATTCCCAGTGTAAGAGAATGAAAGAGAGATTGCAAGAGACAGGCAAAGGGTATGAATTTATAGATAATTTAGCAAAGAAGAAACACAAATGGTCAATAAACCTGAAGAAAAATCTCAACTCAGAAGAAATGAAAACAAAAATAAATAGTGCTGGCCACAGTGGTACATGTCTGTAATCCCAGCAGCTCAGGAGCCTGAGGCGAGTTCAAAGCCAGCGTCAGCAACTTAGCAAGGTCCTAAGCAACTCAGAGAGACCCTGCCTCTAAATAAAATATAGCAAGGGCTGGGGATGTGGCTCAGTGGTTAAGTGCCCCTGGGTTCAATCTTTGGTACAAAAAAAAAAAAAGTAATATTAAATACTTGTGAGTGTGTAAGAAATGGGCTCTTTATGTAGAAGTCTCCATTTATGTATATACACACACAAATACATATGCCATTTGTATAATACAATAATAATATAATATATTAAATAATATATAGTATATTAATATACTGTATTTTATATTACATATTATACATAATATATATCTCCTAAAAATTTACCAAATTTTTTGATCCAGAAATCCTATCACATGGAATGAATTGAGAATGCACACACAATTTCACCACAGGAATGTTCAATGTAACAATGCATATAATACTGAAAATTAAAAAATCCTAGTTGTCTCATGATAGTGAATTAGCTAAGTAAATTATAGTTAGTTGATGTAATTAACTATTGTAAAACCATTAGAAGTCAAAATTGTGAAGGAAAATATTTAATCATGTAGAAAGGTGTTTCTCATACATGGTTAAATAAAAGTTCCCTCAAAGAGTTATACATAACATGATCATAGTTTTGTTGCAAACATTTCCTGATTCATACTTAGAAAAAGGTAGTGATATACAACAAACTTTTTACTCTAAGGGGCCATCTCTTGAGAGAGGAATTATATGTGATTTTTATTTTGTATTTTCCTTAATCAATAGTTACAATAAATATTCTAAAGTAAACAGATGCTACTTTTACAACCAGAAAAAAAATTTACAATGTAGAGAGGAGGACGATAAACAAATTCACATTCTCAGATCCACTCACTTCCTTTTTTCTGCCTCACTGAGGTTGAAGTATGGAGAACTATAACCCCAAACCTGCCCTGTCTGATGTTTTCCTGCATGTATCTGCACACTTCCCTTTTAGGAGCACATGGAAAATGAATTCTAAGGGAGGTGAAGTAATATCCTGAACTCTATGAACACAAACCCATTTAGGAACATGCCTTCTGAATTAGGCTAGTACTTGCCTGGTGAGAAAATCTCATTTATTGTCACTTGGTGAATAAGGAGGATGGGAACCTAGAGCTCATCTTAAGTTGAATCCCTTAATTTTATACTCTCTTCTATCTTAGAATATATCCATATTCTCATTGCCCTTTTTCTCCAAAGAATCAGCACCATTTCACCCGAATTCTTGTTCTTTTTCATCCCATTTCCTACATAGAAAACCTTGAGCTTATGTTCAGTATCTCCATCTTTATTTCACATGGAGTTGGTTAAAATATGACTCTAGCTGAATTGACTCATATTTCTCAAACTGCCCTCATATGTCTTGATGACTTCTCTTTTGGACTATGTGAACTCCTCTCAGAGCTCCTGCCAGTAACCCCAGTCTATCCTACATGCTGCTTTCCATGAGATCTTCCCAAAACACAAATCTCATTTTCCCTTCACTAGTGCCAGCTACAGAGTTGCCCCAGTTGTGGCTCTTTCAATTTTCAATATTTGAACATGTCTTAAAAAAAGGTTTAATAGGAAACCTTCACATGAACTTCCTAAAATATCTGTGGTCTCTCAAAAGAAGTCAAATATTTTTGATCAGTAGTTTTTCATTATATCTGCTTAGTGATTTAATTGATTAATCAAATATGTTTTTTGGTTAATACAGGTTGGTAATAAAATTATTGTTTATGCCTTTAGTTTGGTCACTGAATCTTATGAGTATAAAGTAGGGCCTTGGGGGAGGGTAGAGGAAAAGGGGTATATTTCAAGGGTCTTTGGTACTGAAAAGGTTGGGAACCACTAACCCCCAGGTTAAAGTTTCAGTTCCTTTGTATGTCATTCAAGTCCCGTGCCCCATCCAACCTCCTGTCTGCCAAACCTCCATATAGGTTTTGTGCTCCAAAGAAGGTTCTTAAGAACCTCTAACCCCTTCCCACCTTCTGGTCCTCTTCTTGATCTGCTTCTTCTGCCTTCTGCCTTTCCCCTCCCAGGAAATTTCAGCTCAGTTTTAAAGATGTTGCTCAAAATCCCCCACCCCCAGAACTACTTTCACAGTCTCCATTTTGAATTAACGTCCCCTCCCTGAACCTCCTGGAGGACTCCTGAAAGTTCTCTATACTGGCCTGCATCATACCACATCTTATAATTATCTGTAACATGGCTCCCTTTTCCTGACCCAATAGAGTGCAGGGACCACTTATAGTGGCAGTTACCATAGCACCTGCTATATCTTGCTTTGGTACCTGGGCACTGACTGTGTTAATAGGCTCAAATTCCAGATACCATTCTTTGGTGAGAGCCAAAAATGTATCACACACACAAAAAAAAACCCCCAATTTTACTCTCATCAAGACAACACCTCAAAAGAGGAAACTGGCTCTAAAACTTTGGAACAAATTGTCCAGGCTTGAATCCCAGATCTGCCACTTATTAGATGGTACCCTTGAGCAAGTCACTTAATCTTGCTGTCTCAGTTCACTATCTGAACAATGGGTGCAAATCACTAACATCCAGGGTGGTTTAAAATGTCTGCCACATAGTAGGTTTTCTATGAATTTTATTCCCCCCACTATGAGAAATAAATTTGTTGAACTCAATAGCCCCAGGCTATTCCATTCATAGAAAAGGGAACTTTAAGCTTTTAATTTAAAAGGAACTTTTGGGATGAGCATTCCTGGCTGCTATTTGGCTTCAGCCCTTGCTCTCCTACCCATCTCAACTTCGAACAATCACCACTATCATTAAATGGCTTGATTTTAGCTCCCACCCATAAATCACATCCCAGTTCATATTCAACAAAGTCCTGGCCATCTTTACATTAAGGGAACAGAATTTTTCCCCTTAGAGTTATTTGGTTGAGATTCTGACCTTATTTCTTCTTTAAAGAACTTCTTGCAAATAGATGTCCCGATGCAGGCATTGCATTTATCAAGACCGAGGAATGTCCTTCCCAAATTGTAGCTGGTTCGGACTCGGGGCACCGGAGAAGGAGGGAGAGAAGCTGGTGAGGAGAAAGAATAGCTCAGGGCTGAGATCCACAAGAGCAGCAGGGCCAGCCAGCCCAGACGGAGAGCGGCAGCCTCGGGCCCTGGCCGGAGTTCCATCCTGGGCTCTGGGCTGTGCCTGCAGCCTCAGCTGCCCACTCTGGGCTGTACAGAGGCAAGGCTTGGCCAGAGAGGAAGCTGCCAGAGGCAGCTGGTTTCAGGGTGCTGACCCCATCCTGGCCTCCCAGGTTTGTGTTTGAGGATGCTGAGGAGCATGGGGCTAATGAGGCTGGGGAGAGGGTGAGGAAGTCCATGGAGGATGCTGATAACATGTTTCCAGAGCTACTCTTCCTCTGCCTGTGGTGGCTGCCTCAGCCTAGGGAGGGGCTCACTGGCAGATTTCGGGAAGGACAATGGTCACAGTTTCCCCGTGTGGTCCTTTCGACAAACACAGGATATCCCAGCTGGGCAGGAAAGGTTAATGCAGGATGTCTGTCCGACCTAGGTTCCACCTGGGAGTTTCAAAGAATCCTGATGGCCCCCGCCCTCTACTGCTTTAAATCTGGTTACATCTGCCCCTAAGGATTACACACACACACACACACACACACACACACACACACATCAATTTTTGTTCTCTTCTGTACAGGACAATCTGTCCTTTCCTTTAACCAGTCATATTTTCCCTACCTTTACTATATTTAGCTGTGAAATAACTAGAGGTTAATTTGCTGGCCATAAAGTGGCACTTTTAAACTGATAGGAAAGGTCAAGGCTTTTTGCTGCTTAGGAAATGGAAAAACCTTAGCTTAGTCCATTTTCTCTTGCTGACGTAAGAATAATAGTGGGGAATAGAATCTCATGGCCTCTATAGGCTGATGAGGGAAGTGTCAGAAAGAGCCCCCTGCCTACACCCACCTGCGCTGGTCCCTCTTCCCGAAGCCTGAAAGCCCCTGTTTACTTTGCCACCCTGCCTCACTTCTCAGCACCTGGCCTGACTTGGGAAGATTGAACTGCCCTGGGATTGCCTTCCTCTGGATACCAAGATAAGGTTCACAGCATGGAGTAGATGAGAGAGCTAATTTGGAACCAGAGTGAGTCTACAAGCACTAAATTAGGGAAGGTAGGTTGCCTGACCTCCTGCTAGGGGTTGCAGCTTGATTACCTGGTCAGTTTAAGAACATAAGAGAGTGCACAGAAAGATGGGGCCCAGAAAGGTGAAAAGGGAGGTGACAAGGGATGAGAATGGCCTCAAGAGAAGTGATGAGATTTTCTAAACATCAGTGGGAAGAACAGAATAAAAGCAGTTCTCTGTGATTAAAAATATGCTTATTAGCCATCTGTGTACCCTCTTTGGCAAAATGTCTGGTCAGATTATTATTATTATTTCTGTGTGTTGCTAGGGATTGAACGCAGGACTTCATCCTACATGCTAGGCAAGTGCTCCTCTCCTGAGCCACAGCCTCAGTTCACATTTATTTTTTATTGTTGATTTTTGAGATTTTAATATATATTCTAGATCTTGTTTTGTTGGATACATAGTGCTATAGTTTGGATCTGAAAGGCCCATGTGTTAAAAGCTTGATCCCTAGTTTTTAGCACTATTGGATAATGATGGAAAACTTAAGAGGTAAGGCTTTAGAGGGAGATTTTAGGTCATTGGAGTTGAGCCCTTGAAGGAGATTGTGGGATGGTGGGTTTCTTCCTCTTCCTCTCTCTTTTGCTTCCGCACTCTGAAGTTTTGATCCACCATGTGCTCCCTGCCATGATGTGCTGCCTCGTCACAGGCCCCAAAGCATGGGGCCAATTGACCATGGGCTGAAACCTCCAAAACTTTAAGCCCAAAGAAACCTTTTCTCTTTATAAGATTATTTTCTCAGGTATTTGCTACAGCAACAAAAAGTTCACACACATATGTAGCTTGCACATATTTTCTCCTAGGCAGTAACTAGTCTCATTCTCTTGAATTTTTAGCAGAGAAAAAGTTATGAATTGCATTCAGCAATTCATTGATCAAAGTAGAACCAGATCTCAGATGTCTAGGACTTTTCCAGGAAGGACCAAAGGGAACTTTGATAAAGCGTTTGCAAGAGAAAAGGAAAAAACCAATTTTGCTTAGTTACAGTGGCAAGTTGCTTGTTATAGGTTAGTTTGTGGTTTCTGATTAATACAGATTCTAATTTCAATTCACTGTTTACGTTGGGCTTTGGTTTGTTCATGTAGAAAGTTAAAGTGCCAGAGCTACCACAGTCTAATGTCCTTCCAATTATACTTTTTTTAAACGATATAAGAACTAGGGCTAGCTCTATGCCCTGAGGATATTTCTTCAATAGTTTCTTATAAAAGCTTAATGATTTTATATTTTACATTTAAATCTATGATGAATTGGAGTTAATTTTTGTATGAGGTTAGGTCAAAGTTCATTTCTTGCTTCAGCACCATTTTTTTAAAACCCTATTCTTCCTCCATTGATATTGCTTTTGTACCTCTGTCAAAAATCAGTTGTCTGTACTTGTGTGTGGCTATGTCTGGGTTCTCATTGATCTATGTATCTATTCCTCTGTCAACACCATAGTCTTAATTATCATACCTATTTTTTCTTTTTTTATTTGTTCTTTTCAGATATATACAACATTAGAGTGTATTTTCACATGGAAATATAACTTTTCCTAATTAGGATCCCATTCTTTAGGTAGTACATGATGTGGAGTTTCACTGGTCATGTATTCATATATGAACATAAGAAAGTACTGTCCAATTCATTCTACTGTCTTTCCTATTCCCATCCCCCTCCCTTACCTTCATTCCCCTTTGTCTAATCCAATGATCTTCTATTATTCCCTCCCCCACTTATTATATGTTAGCATCCACATATCAGAGGAAATATTCAACCTTTGTTTTTTTGGGATTGGCTTATTTCGTTTAGCATGACAGTCTCTAGTTCCATCCATTCACCAGAAAATGCCATAATTTCACTCTTCTTTATGGCCGAGTAACATTTCATTGTGTGTATATACCACATCTTCTTTATCCCTTAATTTATTGAAGGATACCTCGGGTGGTTCCATAACTTAGCTATTGGGAATTGAGCTTCAATAAACACTGATGTGGCTTCATCACTATAGTATGCTGATTTTAAGTCCTTTGGGTATAAACTGGGTCATATGGTGGTTCCATTCCAAGTTTTTTGAGGAATCTCCATACTGCTTTCCAAATCAGCTGCTCCAATTTGCAGTCCCACCAGCAATGTATGAGTGTGTCTTTTCCCCCCACACCCTTGCCAACATTTACTGTTGCTTGTATTCTTGATAATTGCCATTCTGACTGGAGTAAGATGGAATCTCAGTATAGTTTTAATTTGCATTTCTCTAATTGCTAGAGATGTTGTACATTTTTTTCATATACTTGTTGACTGATTGTATTTCTTCTTCTATGAAGTGTCTGTTCTGTTCCTTAGCCCATTTATTGATTAGGTTACTTGGATTTTTGGTGTTAAGCATTTTGAGCTCTTTATATACCCTGAAGATTAATGCTCTATCTGAGGTGCAGTTGGCAAAGATTTTCTCCCATTCTGTAGGCTCTCTCTTTACATTTTTGATTGTTTCCTTTGCTGTGAAGAACATTTTTAGTTTGATACCATCCCATTTATTAATTTAAAAAAAATTTTTTTAAAACTTTTTAGTTGTTGATGGACCTTTGTTTTTTTTAAAAAAATTATTTATATGTGGTGCTAATAATCAAACCCAGTGCCTCACACATGCTAGGCAAGTGCTCTACCACTGAGCCACAACCCCATGCCAGGCTTCATTTATTGATTCTTGATTTAACTTCTTACACTTTTGGAATCTTGTTGAGGAATTTGGTTCCTAAGCTGACATGATGGAGATTTGGGCCTTTTTTTTTTCTTCAAGTTTCACAGGGTCTCTAGTCTAATGACTAAATCCTTGATCCACTTTGAATTGAGTTTTCTGCTGAGTGAGAGATAGGGGTTAAATTTCATTCTACTACGTATGGATTTCCAGTATTCCCAGCACCACTTGTTGAAGAGACTATCTTTTCTCCAATGTATGTTTATGGTGCCTTTGTCTAGTATGAGGTAACTGTATTTATGTAGGTTTGTCTCCATGTCTTCTATTCTGTACCGTTGGTCTTCATTTCTGTTTTTGTACCAATACCATGCTGCTTTTGTTACTATGGCTCTGTAGTATAATTTAAGGTCTGGTATTGTGATGCCTCCTGTTTCTCCTTTCTTGCTAAGGGTTGCTTTGGCTATTCTGGGCCTTTTATTTTTTGAAATTCATTTTATGACTGCTTTTTCTATTTTTATGAAGAACATCATTGGAATTTTAATAGGAATTGCATTAAATCTGTATAATCTGTGGAGCACTTTTGGTAGTATAGTATACCTATATTAATAAAACTTGAAACTGAATAGAGTGATTGTTCCCATTTTCTTTTTCAAAATTGTTAGTTTTTTTTAGTTCATTTGAATTTCTATATACATTTTAGAATAATCTTGTCTACATCTACAAAAAAACTTCCATACATTTTGATAGGAATTGTATATTGTATATAAATTTTGAGGAGAATTGACCTCTGTTGTGGTTTTAATGTGAGGCATCCCTCAAAAGCTCATGTGTGAGATAATGCAAGAAGGTTTAGAGGAGAAATGATTGGGTTATGAGAGCTTTAACACAATCAGTGAATTAATCACCTGATGGGATTGAGTGGTAATTTAAGGTAGGTGGGATGTGGCTATAAGAGGTAGGGGCACTGGGGGTGTGGCTTTGGGGGCATATATTTGTATCTGGTGAGTGGAGTCTCTCTCTCTCTGCTTCCTGATCATCTTGTGAGCTACTTCCCTCTGCCGTACTCTTCTATCATGATGTCCTGCCTCACCTGGAGCCTCAAGGAATGGAGCCAGCTATCTATGGATTGAGACCTCTGAAATTGTGAGCACCCAAATAAACTTTTCCTCCTCTACAATTGTTCTGCTCAGGTCTTTTAGTCACAGTGGCAAAAAAGCCTCTTTAGTAGGCCTCTTTAATTGTTTAGTCAAAACAACCTCTTTAGTATGTTGAGTCTTGAAATTCATAAAGTGTCTCTCCACTTAGGTTGTCTTTGATTTTTTTTAAGTGGGGGGACCAGGTGCTTAACAACTGAACCACATCCTCAGCCCTTTAATTTTTTTTTTTTTTAAATTTTGAGATAGATCTTGCCAAGTTGTTTATGGCCTGGCTAAGCTTCTGAGGCTGGTCTTGAACTTCCAATCCTGC